AGACCTACGCCCATTTTAGGAGGTCACATCCTCCTGTGGAAAAGCATGCACCACTTTTTCCTGCCAAATCAATATGTAACTCCCTCACCTCACCCTGCAAACTCTTAAATTCTGGGGACAAGGGCTCTAGCTCTCTTGCTCGAGGATTCTCTCTCTCCACCCTCCCTTCCTCCCTCCCTCTCTCCCACCTTAGCTAGGCACATTCTCTTCTCTGAGAACGTATCATTAATAAACCCTGCTTGCATACATATCAGCTTGCTGGGCTTTGATTCTTCACCACGTGGACAAAAAGGACCAAGTTTCTTGAAAACCTATTACACCCTTTCTGGGGGCAGAAATCATTGGCAGCAATTACATGCAATCATAAATACTTTCCCTAATTTTAAGTGGTTTTAATGGACAGATAGTCCTCTCTCTTTTTGTGTGTGTTTGTTGAATTTTTTGCTTAGCAACTGTAGGTAGCAAGCTGGTACATTATTTCTGGGCAAAAATTTGTCACAAATTTTGCAACCATTACCTTTGCCATGTTGGAATAATGTAAAATTTATCTTTCTGAGTTAGAAAATAAAATTTAAAAACCAATACCACTTATAATTAATTAAAACCATCTTTGTGTCCTTTGAGTAATTGATTTTATAGACAAGATCCAAAAAACATTAACCACAAAAAAATCAAATTGATTGTGAGGGATGTAAATGTCTAACTATTATGTTGCTTTGCATATCTGAAACTAATAAAAAATAAAATAAAATGGATAAATTAAACTTCATTAAAATTGAGAACTTCATTAAAATTGAGAACTGTTCTTCAAAAGAGATCATTAGGGAAATGAAAAGGCAAGCCAGAGACTGAGAAAAATACATGTACAGATATTACAAAGGAATTGTATCCATAATATATAAAGAAGTTTTACAATTCAGTAAGGAGACAAACAACCTAATAAAAAATGGATAAAATACTCAAACCGATTTCAGAAAAGAAGACATATAAATAACTAATAAGCACATGAAAAGATACTCAACATCATTAATCATCAGGAAAATGCCAATTAAAA